TAACTATATTGCAGAGTACAGCTTTATTAACCTCCCTGTAAAACCCTGGTACTCCCAGAGATCAGGGGCCAGTCAGATGTGCGGTTGTGTGTGTTCAGTACTGCCATTTGGAATCCTCAGCCTCTTAACGACCGGTGCAAATATATTCCCTAGCCCTAAGGATATATAGGCCCTCAAGTCGGGTAGACCTGGGTTTGAATCGGCTTTTCCATTTCTTAGCCCAATTATCTTGGGCAAATTTCCTTATAGGTCTAGAGTTAGATTCAGCCTCGGTCACACTGGGGAAATCACACACCTGTGGGGCAGCTCATTCACCCCACGGGCCTTGACTGAACGCGCTGTAGTCAGGTCGGGGCTGGACACAGGTGAATAGAGCACGCATCTTCCCTTCTGACTGTTGTGGCCTGGGGTGGGGTCTGTCAAGCAGAGGAGGGTAAAGCACCTAACTTAGAGAGGGTTGCGCGGCTCACACTAGACAGGCTGTGCAGGGCACCTGGATCCACACCCTGTGTGTTTATACACCCGTCCCCTTCCTCTGGCTCTGTGCGGCTTACCCCCAAGAGTCCTTGGGTTACCCCGATCCCTCTTCACTAGCTGCCCACACAGAGGATGCCACCAACCTCTGGCAGAGCTGGACGTGTCTCTCACCCCAAAGCAGAAAACAGAGGTCGGAGGGATACGTGGTCATCCTGCCAGGTCTCCTGCGGTGTCCCCAAGATGTGAAAGGGGCACACAGCACCCTGATAGACATGCTATTTTCCCATCTGAGGCGGTGGGGCAGTCGGGGTGTTGCTGGAGACCCAAAGCTGGAGTTCCATAGCCCAGGATAATTTGGGATGTGGACACAGAGACTCCCTCCCTGAAATAGAAATGCTGAGGGGCACAGGGGTGAGAGAGGTGGCGAGAGAGTGGAGGCGGGGCTTGTCCACCTGCCTGCTACCCTCGCCTCAGGAGAGCCAGCTGGAGGGCTATCTTTCTTCCTCCTGACATGGTCTGAGAGAGGAGTGTCATTGACCTCAGGGCACATTCCAGAATGAGGCTACAGCCAAGAATAGGACCCAGGAACCCTGCCACCCATCCTGCCTATATTAATCACACATTCCCAGAGCAGGAGAGAGGCTTCAACCTCCTTGGGAGATGGGAGGAGGAGACAGAATCAGGAAGCAGAGCTGTGAAAAAGGAGGGCGCCCCCCAGAGTAGCTCCTTCACAGCCTTGCCAGGACCCTTCTCATCCAACAAACCCCACATGAGCTCTCGGAGCTGAGTCCACACATCTGGGTCCCAGAGTCCTTAAGCAGGGTGCTGGCCTGGGATAGGTGCATGCGTGGAGGGAGACAGGGTCTTGCAGGATTTTTGCAGCTTGAGGGACAGCGGAAGCTTCCCCAAGGAGCTGAGCCTTGAAGGATGGGTAGATACCGAGCTAATGTCTTGTTCAGGAATCTAGGACATGGCTGCTTATGTGTGTGTCAGGAGCCACGTGACGTGGCGAGGTCATAAGACAGCCCTGGGAGGTGTGTGTGACGGGAGACTGGCTCTTTGGAGATATTTGGGATGCTGATGGCCAGGCTAGAGGTGTGTGTGTGTGTTTGCTTGTAACTCTGGGAGAAACAGCATGTGAAATTCTGAAACCAGGCAGCCTGGGTTCAATTCTTGGCTCTGCCATTTGCCAACTGGGTGATCTTAGGCAAGTGTCTTTCCTCCTCTAGCCTGTTTTCCCACCTACAAAACAGGACACTTGTCTCATACGGTTGTGATGGATCCGACAGGAGGTGACGTCAGCACCTATCACGCAGTTAGCACCCACTCTGCCAGTGTGGCCACAGCACAGCCAGACACAGGCTTTCTTCCCAGCCTGAGGAAATCACGTGTGGCTACGTGCACGCCTCCTTCTCTCACCAAGTTCGGCCCTGGGCCCCTGCTCTCTGGCCCCACTGTCCAGGGGGTGACATCAGACTAAGGAGCAGCTGGCCAGACAATGGAGCAGAGTGTCCTCGGTGGCTGGAGGTGCTGGGAGAGGCAGAGCGTGGAAAAAAACCAAGCTGCCCGGCTGCACAGGCCTCGAGGCTGGTGCAGAGACAGCCGGCACCAGGCCAGCCCTCAGAAGAGGCAGACAGAGAGATGGACCAGAGAGGAGGAAGGACGGCAGGGGAGCAGCTACTGCAGGAAGAGGAAGAGTGGGTGCAGTGAGGACAGACGGCAGTGAATCTGGAGGGGACCAGAAAGACTGTTCAGTCTTACTGTGTGCTGTGCCCCAGGCGTACCAAGGCTCCCAGACTGGGTGGGGTGACGCCCAGGCCTCTTGGCACCCAGACCCTGGGAACCCAGTCCGACCTTTACCTACTTAGTGCCAGTTGTTACATACGCCTGGGGTGACAGAGGCCAAAGACACAGAATTAAATATGTAGGAGGTAAGAAGTTATAACCAGTTCTAGACTTTCCACTCCCTAAGTGCCCCTATTTTCTGAACCTCAAAGCAACCTTTATGGGGTGATCAACTTGGATGTATTCTGACTGCACACTTAAAGCCATGTGGTTACTGATCTTGTGAAACAGCCCTGGAAGGATGAGGAGGACTTTAGGTACTTGGGGCCTAGCCAAGGCCAGGAGCTTCTAAGGGCAGGGAGGGGCCCTGGGCTGCTTCCTAGATTCCCAAGGTTAGTAGGGTCAAGTCCCCCAGATTTCCACAAAGTGCCGTCACTGCCTGTTTTATAGAAGAGACTCAGACACAGGCACAGAGCCCACAAGCAGACCTGGTGGGCGTGCTAGGCCGGGCTTTCTCTGTGGTGCTGGGGCTGGAGAGTCGCAGGGCCCAGTCTGGGGCAGTGGGTGAGTAGTGACATGGGGCTCCCCCAAACATCCCCCAAACAAAGCAGAAGTGACCCTGGGGGGTGGGGGAATGACAGGTATCCCCTCAGCCAAGAAAAAGATACAATAGAATGACCCAAGCCTTTCCAAGCAGGTGGCAAACACAGTCCTGGTGCCCCGTTTCCATGACGGAGTGGGGACTTGGACCTTCTCGATGGTTCAGTTTTGTGCTCCTTAGTCTCCTGGTGACTTGAGACCTTCCTCTTCCCTGGCTCTCTTCTCCTCTCTCTCCTGGTTCCCTCCGATTATAGAGAATTACCTCAGAGGAGGGGTTGGCCAGGCTGGGCCTGGCTTTCTTCATGGGCTGTAGCCCAAGCAGACAGGGGAGCATGGGGAGAGGTGTTGCTGAGGTGAGGTGACTCCCGCCTGGAACTGGCCCTATGCCTGGGCCGGGGGAGGTCAGGCCTGAGCGCTGAGACCAGTGCTGCTGCCCCTCCTGGCCCGTCCAGGGCTCTGGGACCAGGGTCCCTGGGGGTCACAGTTGGTCAGCACACCCAGCCCTGCCCCTCTGCTCCCGCCTCCACCTTTGTTCCTCTAAACTGGACACCCTCAGTGGTGGAGTCCAGACTCCGCTCCTGGCCCCATGCTGTCACGACGGGCCAGGGCCTTGAGATGAGGGCAGAACACCCGTGTTCTGCCCCCTGCCTCTGTGCTCTTGGCTAAGTCACCTTGCTGGTCTGGCCTCTTCCTGGGCCTAGTTCACAGCCTAAGCTAGGTCCCTAGGCCACTTAAAGGGTCTTGGCGCTGCAGAGGGGGCCAAGTAGCAGCAGGCTTGGTTGGTGAGACTTCTCTCCTGCAAGGTCGCCAAAGTACACTGCTCCCCGCCACCACTCCCATGAGCCCAAAGAAATCACACAAGAAGGCCTGATGGTACTACAAGCTTTTAATTGGTATCTTCTCCCCTGCATTTAAGGAAGAAGAAATAAGGATACCCCTAGACCTTCAGCTGTAGAGGGGAATGGACAGAATGAAGGACTGAGGGGCTGGGGGGCAAATGAAGAGCTGACAGTGGGTTCCCAAATCCTTTATCTAGTAGCAGGGTGGCTTAGCCTACACGGAAAGTCCAGGAACAGAGAGTGAAGACACCCTGCCAATTCCCAAACCTGCCCTCCCAGGCCTTACCTGGCGCTTCCTCCCGGCCACTGCTGCTCCCAAGGCCACCACCAGATGGGAGCATCGAGCAATATTCGTTTCCTTCCCAAGCAGCCTCCCTCCTCCGGCTTTTCTCATCTGTCACCAACACCCTACGCCCGTTTTTGCTCCCTTTATTTCCTTTCCTAAATCAGATCCTGGGCTTCTATCTGCTTGCTCAGCAAGGAGGCCAGTGGCAGATAAAATGGGACCACCTGACAGCTCTGGGAGGGCCAGCCATGGCTCTGCTGCTGGGCATTTTGCCTTCAGTCACTATAAGCTGGGCAGTGGCTAACATCTCTCTGGGTCCTAGCACCCTGTAAGTGTCAAAACACGTCCATCATAACTGAATCAATAAGCCAATCAGTAAAGCCAAGGAGAAGAAACATGCTTTGTGCTGGCGCCACGGTGGCCTGAGACTGCTGGGCCGACATGGCCGAAGCACCAGCTGACCGCCACCCAGAGGTGCCTTGCTGGCAGCTTCAGCTCAGGGCCAGTCGTGTGCTGGGCTGGACCACACACCCTGCTTCCCACTTCCTATGCCCCTCACGAAGTGGTGTCAGCTCATGACACCGCAGCTCATGATCTAGGGGTCCTCCCTTCCTCTCCACTCACCCCTTTGGCAACCCAATTCACTCCATGCATGATTCCTGTGACTACCACACAGTCACTGTGTTCACCACCCCAGTGGGGGTTAGGGGGACCTGGAGAGGCAAGGGAGGAGCCAGCAGAAAGGATAATGATGCCCACACAGACCAGACCCTAGGGATAACTAGCAGGTGTCTATTGACTGCTTTTGTCTCGTTAAGCTAAAAAAAAAAAGATATTCCTGATTGAACCCAAAGACTAGAAGCTGATCTAAGGCCTCTGTCGACGTTTTCTGATGCACTGATTGACGTCAGCCTGCTGGCCTGAGACTGTCTAATCTGACCTTGCCCAGTTTGTGGACTGAGGGCATTAGGGGTAGGTGGGTGGAAGAGGGGTGTGGAGGGGGAGCGGAGAGGAGCAAGGGGCTCAGTGTACGCCCAGAAACTCCTTGAGGACATCACAGGTCTTCTTGTGCATGACTTCCCGCAGCTTCCTAACCCGCCGGGTGCTTGAGGCGCCCACGAAGCTGTCAGGCCGCAGCATGGCCATGCCACCATCCACCTCGCCCATGATGATGAGGGGCGTCTCGCCTGCCGTCACATTGGGGCAGGGGCACATCCAGTCCACGTGGAGAAGAGTGACCTCCAGCGGCTCCCGGCCCAGGAACTTGAGGCCCATCTTCTCATCCTTTAGGACCTCATCCACGGTCACCAGGGCACGTCCCGAGTCTGGTTCCTCAGTCACCTCAGAGACCCGGCCCAAGATGACAAAGTCACTCCTGCAGAAGCTGGTCACCAGCTTCTGCCTTGGCTTGCAGGCCCGGCAGCGCTGGTTCCCACGGGGGAGAGGGCAGGACTCCTCACAGGCCTCTCGGCTCTCAAAGTTGTTGCCATTACCCTCGCAGCCACCGTAGACAAAGGACTGGCACTGGCCGGTCTGGCTGTTGTAGGCCCAGCGCGGAGCATAGGCCTTGCAGGGCCCCTGCAGGGCTGGCAGGCTGCACACGGCCAGCGGCCCGCTCATGCAGGCCAGCATGCAGGCCTCGTAGGTCTCAAAGTGGTTGCGGTTGTGGTGGCAGTGGCCGAAGGTGAAGGTGAGGCAGTTGTTGGTCTGGGCGTCGAAGTGCCAGCGGGTCTGCTCCTCGCCACAGTCCTCACTGTCCGGGGGCTTCAGACACTCGGCCGGGGGGAAGGCTGTACCATTGGGGCTGCTCTCTGCCGTGGCAGCCACGTGGCCACCCCTGACCACGGACAGTGGGAAGTCAGCCCGCAGGACCCCAGCAGCATTCCAGGCCGTGCAGGTGTAGATTCCGGCATCCTGGGGCTGGGCATTATAGATGACCAGCTGGGCGATGTTGGTGACCACCACGTTGCCACGCACATGGTTGGGCCGCATGACCACATTCTCCCGGTCCTCCAGCTGCTTCTCCCAGGTGATCTCAGGCCGGGGCCGGCCCACCACATCACAGAGGAAGCTCACTGTCTCGCCCATAGTGACTGACTGGTGCACAGGGTGGTTGAGCAGAGCTGGGGCCGCCATGTCCAGTCCAGGGGTCTCTGGGGAGGCCGTGGTGGGACGCACAGTGGTCTCAGGTGGCGGGGGGCTGGTGTTGGGCCAGGTGAAGTGGTAGCGGCAAGTGACAACGGCCAGTGTGATGCCCTTGGAACAGGCCTCAGCGTCCATGTAGCAGCGGTTATAGTAGGTGAGGCCGTCAGAGGCGCAGGTAAAACTGGGCTCTTTCTCGCAGCGGTCTTTGCACTTACACACTGGCTGGCCATCCCAGATGTCACACTCGGACCCCTGCTGCAGACACATGAAGTGGTCACACGTGGCCTCCTTGGGCATGCCCACCGGGCCCTTCTTCCCTCTCACATCCATGTAGCGGGCTGCCACGCAGCTCCTGGTCCCACACACGTTGGGGCAGCACTTCTCATAGGTCTCACACTCCTGGGGAGCCAAACCAAGAGGCCTGAGCAGGCAGGAGGAAGACAGCAGGGGTGTCCCAGCCACCCCCATGGCCTCGGGAAAGGAGCTCATGTGTGCTCACCACCTACCATACCTAAAACATTTTCAAACATAATAGCTAAGCACACATAACACCTGCCATCTGCACAGCCCTCTCCTAATGACACATCAGTCAGCTGTCGTCGTGCCCACCACAGCCTGTGAGCTGTGATAATGGGGTGCCACCGGTACCCTCACTTCACAGGTGATGATAACCATGGCACAGAGAGGTTAACAACTGGCCTGCTAGGCAGGCCGCACACCGACTAGCATTTTACAGAGGGGACTCAGACTCGGAGCGAGTCCCGGCGCAGAGGAGGGAGGTGTGGGGGGCAGGGTTTGAGCTGAGGTTTCCCCTCGCCTGTCAAGCAGTTGCCATGAGTGAGTTCTAGGTCAGAATAAGTGAGTTTGTGCCCTTTTGTCTTTTTTCCATTGGTGTGAGGGTGCCCAATGAAAGAGATCACCCCAAATGCTCAGCAGGACGGGTATTCAAGGCTGTCCACAGGAGGGATCAGCGTGCTGAGGAGAACCCACATTCCTCCAAAGCCCAGGGACATGCAGGGGGACCTTCCTGGGGACCAACCAGGGAAAGGCCCCATGTAGCTATGTCAGCTAGGCCGTCAGCGTCAGCTTTCCAGGCCATAATTCCCTCAGATTCTCTGTGGAGCCATGGCGGGTGTTAGTTTAATTCCTCGAAATTAGCAGCACGCTCTGGGCTGACATCAAGGGTTTCATGTGGTATTTTCGCAGTAACAACCTTGCCCACTGGGCAGCCGAGCAGCCCTCCTAATCCCCAGGCCGGTAGTAGCTCTCTGGACCGCTCCCCACTGGGGCTGGCCTCTCGTGATGGTTCTGACTTTTACTTGAGCCTCTCTGACATTCCACATCAGCTAAGGGGGGAATATCCCCACCGGGGTGTGGGGCCTGCCTGCCTGCCTGACTTGTTTACTGTTTTCCCCCTCTCTGCTCAGAATGGGGCCTTTGTTTTGCAGCCCTGGCTTGGCATAGAGGTCTAGGCCATGCCAGAGGCGGCTCTGGGACTGAGATGGGCAGACCTTAGTGTGGGTGTCTGAGCAAGGGTGTCTGAGCAAGAGGGGCTGAGAGCGGAGTGCCTGAGGGTCATTCAATTCTGTAAGAGACTGGCCCCATGAGCCGCTTCAGCACTTGGAGGACCATGAAAGGCTGGGTCCTCAGGGGCCAGAGAGATGATATTGCTGGTGCAGGAAACCTAGAGGCAAGTTCTGGTTAAAAACCCAGAATGTTCCCCTCGGCCTTCTGGGTCCTCGGTCCATGCAGGTGCTTCTAATGCAAAATCAGCCAGTGTCACTGTCTCAGTCCCCACATGATTTATCAGGCCGACTGTGTCCAAGACACAGACGTCTCTGCAAGTGTCGCCAGCTGGCTGCAGGGCCTCGGCTGGCTGGGGGCCCTGCCCGCTGCCCCCCACCGCCACCCCCAGCTTCCTGTCCCGCAGCATTCCCAGCACTCTGGCAGCTCAGGCCTGAGGATGGCGCTGTGGGCAGAGACCACCCTCTCCAGGCTGCCTGTACTTCCAGGTGACCTGCATTTACCCTGGCATCACTGAGCGCCAGGAGCTGGCAGGAAGTGCTTCTGCCCAGGTAGATGCCAGGCACCAGAGAAGCCTTCACCCCTGGGACGCGGGACCTGCAAGAGAAGGAGCTGAGAGCCAGGCCTTACTGCTTGCTGCAGGCTGCTCAGACGTGGGCAGAAGGGAGGACCCCAGAATCATCAGGTTGAGACTTAGTCCACCTCCCTCTCGGGGACAACAGCATGGTGGAGAGCTGCTCCTAGCCCTGTCCCTGTCAGCCTGGCCCGCGCCCAGGGGCAGGGTCCACACCCTGGTGGAGGCGGCCTGGAGGCTGGACCAAGTCTCAGCTTCGCTGTCAGGCCCACGAGGGCGCCCACCTCCCATCCTTGGCGGTGGCCCTGCCTACTGCACAGGCTGAGTGTCGCCCTCACCTGTCGCTGAGGTGAGAGGTCATGCCTGGCTACCGGGGCCTGGCCCGGACGGGCACGGAGCAGCCCTCAGCAAGCACGAGGACGGGAGTCGAGGGTGCCTGCTCCCACCTGCCTCTTCTTCCAGGCCTCACACCCTTTTCCTCCCACGTGGCCCACGTTCCTCCAGGATCCTGGCCCTGCAGGGAGCACTCCCACGTTGTCCCCACACCACAGCGCCCGGCTCCCTCGCTCACACTCAGGGTGCGGCGCGGGCTTCCAGACCCCACTCACCTGGTCCGTCTCACACTCCCGCTTGCAGGTGCTCTGGGCGTCCACCCAGAGGTTGGGGTTCATGTCATTGGGGCAGATGCCAGCATGGGAGTAGCGGATGGGCGGCAGTGCCAGGCCTCGCGGAGGCACCCGGAGTAGCAGCAGCAGCGCGGCCACCTGTCCCCAGCGGGACCAGAACCTGTGGCACCCTAGGGCCCGCATGGTGCCGTCTGCGAAGGCGGGCGCCTCCCTTGCCGCCAGGGGCCTGGGCCCAGCTGGCCTGCTCCTTCTTGGGGCGGCAGACACCTGCCCTCCCCACCACCCCAGCAGGCTCCCGCGCTGCTGCTCAGGCCGCTCAGGCTGCCGGCAGCCGCCACCAAGTCAGCGCAGCCCGCTGGGCCCAGCCGCTTCAGATGAAAAGAAAGGTCTCTGCGAGGAACTCCCTCTCCTGCGCGCGGGAGAGGGGCGCAGCAGGGCCCAGCCTGGATTTATATCCTGGGCACGCCACCCGAGTGGGAGCGAGCTAACCTGATGCCTGTCACAGGCAGGCTGCTGGCTCCTCTGCCCCGTGGCTGATCACAGACTTGTTGCAGAAGGGGGAAAAAAAAGCTGGAAGCAGTTTAGGCTGCGTATCTGGCACGGTGGGACACCTGCTTGTTTTTGACTCCAGGAGGCCTTTAACCCCTTCAAGGGCCAGAAATGGCATGTGCTTTCGGGGGAGCTGGCTCCAGGACACGCAAGCTCACTGTAAAGGAGGGATTTGTTCCCCTCTCCCCTCCTCCCCGGCCTGGGCCCCCTCCTCCCCTGTGGCCACCTCTGAAGAACACACAATCGCTTGTTACAGGGAGGGACCTGCAGCCGCAGGGCGAGCATCGCCCGCCCGATAGTACATTTGAGAGCAAACGATGTGGAAAAACAACAAGTTCACGGCCATTCCAGGGCGGGCCTGAGCAGCGCTGTGCTGAGCAGGCGACTCCCACACCGGCTCCAGGCTTCAGCACCCTGGGGGGGGCACGCGCTCCCTGTCGCTCTGTCCCCGGCAGTTTGTATCTCCAGCTCCAGCTCTGGTGAGTTTCCCCCAGATCATTCCACAGACACATACCAGATATGCTCCAGCTCCCCCGCGCCGGCGAATCACATTCCTTGCTCCTCAATTACACACTGTTGGCTCCAAGAATACCTACGTGGTCAGAGTGTCCAGGACGGCGCTGGACAGCTAATGGCCATGGTGGCGGCTCCTCAGAGAGCCCCACACGCCGAGGCCTCCTTTCCCTCCACTCTGCACTCTGCACGGGGAGGCTCAGGCTCGCAGAGGAAAGCAGACTGCCCAAGGCCACGAGCAGGGACCGGGGCGACAAGCTGTTCCCGGGGCTCATCCTGGCATGCCACACGCATCCGCACAGCCACCCGCACCTTCGTCCTAGAGCTGAGAAAAGGACACACAGAGAGGCCAAGCAGCCTGCCCATGTCGCACAGCTATGGGATGAGCTGTCAGCCAGAGGAAACAGGGACACCAGCTTAGGGAGGCCAGGGGCCTCCCCACCCATCTGTCAGACCGCGGCGGCCCTCCCCTTCTGGTTTTTACAATGGGACAAGAAGTTTTGAAACACCAGAGACAGATATATGGAGGGGCCAGGAGCAGAAGCTGCTGGGGGTGGGGGGCTGGTCTCCCGCTTGGCAGGAAATGGCTCACATCACAAATGCCCCTGAAAAGTGAGTACGTGCGGGCTGTGCTCGCTCCACCCCCAGGAGCTGGGGGGGAAGCACAGATCCCCAGAAGACACATGCATACCTTTCCCAGGCCACACCACAGAGGATTTGGGGAGCAGTCACTGAGCAGTTGGGGACCAGGGTAGATGTGGCGGCCACAGCACACATCGGTCAGAAGGGACCTCGGGGTCCCCAGCAGTGCTCGCGTTTGACAGGTGGGGAAACTGAGTCCTGAGCCCCGGCCCCTCATTTCCTGGGTCCACCGGTCCCTTCAGGGCTCGAGCTCACCCTCTCACTGGGCTGGAAAGAGGTGGCATGGGCTTCCCCACCCTGCACAGGCCTCTCTTCCTTGGGGTGGTGTGTCACCTTCTCCTGCACGAGCCAATTGCGACTGTCACGGGTGGGTTTGCGGGATCTGTCTCTTCTGCTTATGTCAGAGAGCTAATGAAGGGTGTCAGATCCTAACCCCCTAAATTATTGAAAACACTTCCCTCCGAGGCTGGTCCCAGCAACGAAGCCAGACAGCAGGCAACACCGGCTGCTTTGAATTCCCTGTAATTTCATAAACCCGCGTTGCAGCTGCTCCAAGCGGGGACTCCAGGCCGTGCCGGCCCGGCCTGCTTGTGCAACCTCCTTTGATATCACAAAGGGAAATGGATGGTGACACATTTCTAAGCAGGACTTAGAGAAGCTGTCACAGTCCTATTACGTGAGGACAAGTATCTAGGGAGAGGAGGCAGGTTCTGGCGAGCCACTCGAGACTCTCAGAGGGAGGGGGCAGGAGGCGGGGAAGGGCTCAGCCAGGGAGGGGGAGGGGAGGGGGGCCAGCGGAGAGGGTGGCTGCCGGCTTGGGCGAGGGGTTGCTGGAGCCGATGGAGAAAGCCTTCTGCTCACTCCAGCCTCTCCCTCCCGGCCCCATCCCTGGCCACGCAGTTCCAAGAACTCTCAAAACAGCACCGGGGAACGGGGGGCCTAGAACACCCGCTCTCCCTCTCAGCCCAAGCGCCACACAAAACACAGCTCAGAATAATAAATAACATCTGATGAGGGCTCGGAGCCACACAGCGTTTCCCTGCATCCCCACCACTGACCCTCGGGCCGCTGGACAGTGCTGTGAGGGAGCCCCCGGTGCCAGAGGGAAACCGAGTCACGCAGCGGTTAGGCTGGGGTCCCAGCCCTCAGCTCAAGAGTCTCCTGTCCAGACCGTCCTGTGCTCTTCACACAGCCTCTCGGGAGAGGGCCGGCTGGCCGCCCTGCCAGACGGCTTGTTTATAAGCCATTCTGGGAGCACTTTGAAGTCTCTTCCTTCGGGCCCTCCCCCCAAGAGCCCCCGGGACCTGGCTCCCGCTGACTGTCTCCCTCACATTCCCTCTGGTGGGTGGTGTGGATCCCACCCTCTCCTACCCGCCCCCCACCCAGTAATGGCTCAGCCGCCCACTCCCGTCCACCAGGCCTCCCCTCCCCCACCACTGGCCTCTGAAGAAGAGGCCTGGGCTGGTCCCCCTGAGCAGTGGCTTGATGGTGGAGGTGTCCCCTGCCTTTCACCTCCCCAGGACACCGGCCAGACTCCTCTCTGTCAGAAAGGGGGCTGGACAATGACGTGGTCTGAGAGAGCAGAGTGCCCTGGCCCCCACCACTGTCAGAGGCAGAGGGACCACCGGCCCTTGCACCCTCCAGCATGGATTCAAGGCCTACAGGGAGGCAGCTGCAGGAAGTCACCCTGGACTCTGAACTCGGGGTGACCTTGACCTCACCTTCACCCTCAGCACCAGGGCCTTGCAGGACAACATAGCTGACGCCACTTCCCTCACCCCTCTGGAGACTTTGGCCACACGTGTGTTAGGGACACACAGAGACCCACAGACACCGGCTTCTCACCTCTCAGAGCGTCTGCCCCTCACCCTCCTTGTTTTGGCAAAGCTCCTACTATGTGCTAAGTTGCAGGGGTGGATGGCAGTCCTTGACCACAGAGAGGGCATGGTCCCACCACAAAGCCAAAAAAGCATGATAAGGAGAGTTGACATGTCTTGGGGGGCGGGGGGGGGGTCCCTACAAGGGCTGGGAGCAGGGAGGAGGGAGAGGCTGGGATGCTGTGGCGCAGAGTGTGACTTAGGCTGGGCCTTGCCGCCTGAACGGAAGTCCACCGCACAAAGCTCGCTCTCTGTACTTCTCCTTGGAAAGTCCTTCAGGCCCAGGCCTCTGGAAAGGGGAGGTGAGAGCGAAGTCTGTTGGCTGAGGAGGCCAGGAGGAGTGAGAGCTGCAGGTCATGTTCCCTCTTGAGACAGCCCAGCAGAGTCAGGCCTTCCCCCCCATCTGGTCTACCCTTTGTGGGCCCCCTATCTGAGGCAGCTGTGCTTTCTCCCAAATTCATGGGGAGATCAGCCCTCTGGGTTCCTCCCTGCCCCATCCCGGTCTCTTAAACACATGTGGGGAGGAGGAAGGACTAGCGAGGCAGGGGTGGGGTGGTGGGAGAAGGGAGTCCTCGGGAGGCCCGGCTGCCTCTGCTAAAGGCCGTGATTAGTCAGACACAAGCCAGGGAATTCAATAAAGCTGGCGGCTCATTACCCAGCTGGAGACCCCCTGCCCGAGCCGCCGAGCGCCTGGGTTACATTACAGGACTGTGTGAACTCTCCCCTCCGAGTGAGACTGCACCGGGCCTTGGAATAATTATGGGGCCTCAGCAGATGGTGGAGGGGGACGGGGAGGCCTTCAGCTGTGGGACATGTGACCCGCCAGCATCTGTACAGAACAGGACAGGGGAGGGTCCGTGCTGGACCTTGGGAGAGGCAGCACAGAATCGAGATCCAGGAGGGGCAGTGCTGGCCATGGTGGGGCCTGCCAATGCCTCAGGCATCCTCTAGACCCCTGCCCTGGCCGGGTGCCTGATGGCAGGGCCGAGTCTTGGAGAGTGGAATGCCAGCATGTGCCCTGGAGCAAGAACAGGAGACAACGTGGGGGGTAGCACAGTGCTGGCATCACTGAGCGCTCAGGTGCCCGTCTGGGGAAGGTGGGCGTCAAGGTGCCCCGCGGATGTGAGCCCAGCTCCGCGAGCACTGGGCCGGCAGCCGGGCTCCCTGTCCGGGTCTCGCCCGCCCTGCCGCCACCTCCACTTCCCTGTCAGAGGCCCCTTCCTTTCCCCCTCTGTGACCCCACGTCCATTCCTCCAGCTTTGTCTTGATGGAATGGGCTTCAAAAAGCCCCGAAGGCTCTCAGCCAAGACAAACACTGGGGCGAAGAAGCCAGAAGGCCTTGGGGTGTGGAGCTGGTCTTGGCTCCCCTGCTCCACTCAGCCAGGGGAGAAAAGGGCCCCTGTGTGCACTGTTCCCAGGCCTGGGGGGTCAGTCAGAACTGCCCACAGGGCATGGCCTCCCTCCCACTCACGCCTCCCTGCCGAAGGCTGCTCAACTTCTCACGCTCCTGAGTTCCTCCCCTCTCTGCTTGGCTCTTTTCTTCCTTTGGTCGAGAGGGAAATGAGGCTCAGATACAGGTCTCCCTGCCTGCCTGCAGGTGACTAGCAAAGAGGTGTGTGTCCCCTAAAACCAAAGGCATCCCTGACACTCATTTCAACAGTGAGCAGCATTAGATGACCACAGGGTACTGGGGTGAGAAACAGGCCTTTACCTGACGGGCCGCTATTTCAAGATTACTGGGTTAAGATGGCTCCCCGCACGCCCATGAGGAAGGTCAGCG